TCTTTGAAGAAGAAAAAAAGAAGTGATACAACCACTTCTTTTACTATCACGTATGAAAAATTTGAGATTAATTAATTATTTTGATTCTTTGGGAACTGTTACGGGTGTTACAGGGTATATAACTTTTATATGGTAACAGAGCTCGTGTTTTGTCTAGAGGTCCGTCTGAATTTCTATCAAATTCTTACCTAATAATTAGTGCTATGTACCCCATTTTGTATCGAAAGAAAACCTGTATGGGCTGTGAAGTATTTCATTTAGTCATCAGGGGTAACAACGTATCTGTGGTTTTATTTCTTTTTGCTGTCGTTAGTTGCGTGTATCTACGGGCTGCAGTACCCATTTATATATAGCCATAGTTTGTCACACTAGGTCAAAAAAACGGCTAAGTGCGAGTCGGACTCGCATACGGAGGGTTCCGAACAAATCCGTAGGTATATAAGTTTAAAATTATTAAAAATATTTTTATTATATAATGTAACTAAAAATGTATGCTATTCGCAATTTTTCCTTTATCCGTGCTATAATACGTTGCTTCGTACCAAATTTTAAGATTCTGAGTTCACGGGAAGTACCCTGTAGGTTTTGATTCCTTTACGAATGTCGAAAATTTGCGGCATAAACGGCTGTATCTTTTGATTGCGTTGGCTTAGAAGTTTGATTTTTTTACAGCTCCAAGGGACAGAAGACTTGAGTATTTGATATGAATTTCAGCTTGATACCTCCACGCTTTACTGAGAAAAAGGGTCTTGACATTCAGACAGACGATAAGGTTTCTGTTTTTTCCTTTTGAGGTACGGAACCCTAAAAAACTCGTGCTGCTCTATGTAAAGCTCCTGCGCATTTATTGTCTCATTCTCTCTACTTCTTATATATTGTGTGTTTAATGTATTTTAGGATATCTATGCAGGTTAGAGAAATATGTTGTAATCCAACATTTCAAACTGATATTGATTATTGTTATGGGGGCTTTGCACCCTGGAACCAACACGAGTCGACCGGTAACTAAGCTATATGTTTATTTAACCGATTTCAAAAAAAGGAGGAGGTACTCAATTCGACTGTATTTTTTTAAGTGTGTTACCTCAGAACTTGTTTTTAGGTGAATCGATATTGATGATTCTTTTTTTTATTTGATTGTGCTTCTCATGTGGTCTCATTATACATTTGATCAAGATCTCACCGTTAGTTTTTGACTTATCCTTAGTAAAGCGTATTTAATTGACTTGGACTACATTGATGATGTTCTCCTTTTTTTTATATAAAAGTTGGGTGTACAAAATTTTTAATTTTACACTTGTGTTATGCACTATTTTATACTATAATCTATACATATAAATAAAATTGTAGTCTGTGTGTAATATCGAAAAACATAACTGGCTTCTATTAAGTATATAATAACCATTTTAATATTTTGTCTGTTTTGTCTGTCCGGTGATCTCCGGAATGGCTGAACCGATTGACTTGAAGCGTCATTACTTAACAGATGGAGAGAATATTAGGAGAGATCTAGCTTCAAAAATCTTGCATGATTTTAACCAAAACAACATGTAAGAGTGTTTTTTTGGAATTGAAAAAGTGATAAAATAGAAGGTTTTTGATGATCATCTCATAAATTATAAGAGACTAGCTATTAGGCGCGTTGCTGCCGCAGAAGAAATAATTGTGGAAATATCGTTTTAAATTTGGAAGAGTTATATTGTTTAATTAGGAATGACAATACGTTCATTGAAATTGAATGACATCTTTCAAATAAAATTTTCGGTGCGATACGCGCGCCACCCACTGTGACTTAATTGTACTATGCCTGTAACCTTCGCGCAAATGCAAGAATTAAGTTGACAAAGCTTTACCGTAATCTGATGAACGGTATGGCAATATATATATAGAAAAAAATCTCGGTCAAAACTTTTTGGGTTTGCAATTTTACATAAAAAAGGTCCTCACACTTTTCTTCTATCTCTTATTTAAACACAATTTTACAACAAAACTAAGTGTTAAAGGATAATGTTTTAAAAAATTTTTTTTAAGTGAAATTATCGATCCTCAATTTTTAATTAAAACATTTTGTTTATACTAGTACCACTTGCCCAAAGATCACAATATATATTATTTGTAAGTGTTCTACGCGGACAAAATTACGGCTACAATATACGTGCTAGCCGCTTGCCAAGCGTGGTAACTGTAGCTAATCTATCCTATAAAAGGAAAGGCCTACCAGCATACTGTAAGGGACCGATATAGAAAGTCTCATATACATTTGATCAAGATCTCACCGTTAGTTATTGACTTATCCTTAGTAATGCGTATTTAATTGATTTGGACTACATTGATGATGTGTCTACATTTTATTTATGTAAAAGTTGGGTGTACAAAATTTTTAATTTTACCATTTGTGTTATGCACTATTTTATACTATAATCTATACATATAAATAAAATTGTAGTCTGTGTGTAATATCGAAAAACATAACTGGCTTCTGTTAAGTATATAATAACCATTTTAAAATTTTGTTTGTTTTGTCTGTCCGGTGATAGAGCATACTGTAAGGGAAATATACATAGTAAAAAACCATTATCTATTCGCCAAGAGTAGCATAATATTTGGTTAACTAATTTTGTGTTAACAGTCGTTATAAACGCTCCTTAACCACAGATTAACTAATAGTTGTAACCCTAACTCATGAAATATAATTCTCTGTCAAGGTCGAAAGTACTAAGAGAATTTGTTTTAGTGTCATTGGCCGCACAATATGCAAATAATGTAATGAAACTATCAGAGTGATAACATATCCGCAGCATCTTTCTTATAATAACTCAATGTAATAAAAAACCGCGGTTGTCAACCCGCCTGCCAAACGTGGCTGTTATGGCAAATATCCCACCTTCGAGAAGAGCTATGTGGAGTCTTATATTCAGCAGTAGAGTGATAGTCCGTCATGTTGATACCGCTCATAACTTGAGTACTTGAGTAATGAGTTACTTGTAACTCCTATAATACTAATATCCTGGCCTCCTATAACACTAATACCTTTAAACGTGGTAGACTCATGCTGCAGCTATATTAGTAGTATAGTTGTAGCACGAGTGGGTCGCCTCGACCGGGGAAGGACCACGCTCACACAGAATACCAGCGTAAAATAGCAGCTTGAATTTGTTGTGTTTCGTATGGTGAGTGTAGGGAATCGGAAACCCATTTTACTGGAAAAGAGGCATTCCATTTAAGTCCTCACGGGTGACGACGCATCTGCATTTTGATTTCTTATTGAAGATAAATATAGATGTCTATGGTCGCGGCAACCACTTACCATCAGGTGGATTGTATGGTCGTTTGTCACCAAATCCTATAAAAAAAATATCGCATCCACACGGTTTCTGTTTCAGTAGATGATTAAGGAATGTTAGTAAGTTAGAAGTCACGGCCCGTAAGTCTAGCGTTGAACGAAACACGCGCACAAATTGAATTGCACGAATGCGACTGGAGAGCCATTCGGCGTGTGCGAACGATACGCACGAGCCAATCAGCGCGACTTAAGCGCAATAACAGACGGCTCCGTGGCACAGTGGCTTAGCAATCAGTTGTTGCGCTGGGGGCCGCGGGTTCGAATCCCGCACGGAACAAGTATTTGTATGGCCTACAAATAATTGTTTCGGGTCTAGATGTTTGTCCTTGTGCAATTTATGTTTGTAAACTGCCTCCACGACACAGGAGAAAATCCTAGTGTGGGGGGGGGGGGTAACCTTTTTCAAAAGAAAAAGAAATAACGGTCACTGCTAGACTTTCGTGCCGCTACTTATAATATTCTTATTTGCCTTCTGTACGTACTTACACCATGTAGTGGCGGTGTAAGAATATACACTACCCCATATCATTCCGTAGGTGTCGTAAGAAGCCACAGAGGGAAACGCATACAGGAAATGGACAGCAGCATCTTCTTGATAACATCTGAAAACAATAAAGAACTTCGATCGCCAACCCGCCTGCCAAGCATGGTGACTTTTTATAGGCTGTAATGGATGAATGGACCTTGCCTCCTTACACTCATTTTCATAGGGATGTTTTATGGTAACATAGTTACATGTAGTGTTTTAATGTCCATCGTTTATTGTTTTGTACTGAATACAAAATCATTATCTTGTCAACCCCTTCTATCGACGCGACATCAATAAGCGAGGGAATGTGTTGGATATTCTTACCTTGTAACCGCAGGATTTATGTTACCGAGATCAAATAATTGAATCAACTAAGCAGACTTTGCATAAAAGATCAATTAATAATAAAAATAAGAATCTTCTTTAACGTCTTCGTTTCCAGTTTTGATCAGGGAGGAAATTTCTAGTATAAAATTTTAAATTACAACTTATAACTGTTTTTGCAATTTTAATTACTGTCAATGCTGTATGCGATAAATTTGAAATAAGTTTTAGTTAAAGTAAAATAAAAGTTACATCCTATGTACGTCCCACTGCTGGGCACAGGATTCCTCCCATTTCTGAGAGGGTTTTTGGGCAAGGAAATGTCCGGCGCGCTACCCCAATGCTCAAGTCAGCAGTGGATTTGTACGCGCTGATGATTGTGTAGATGATGAAACAGTTACGAGCGTAGGCGAAGCTAATTAAACAAAAGCTCTGGTATCACTGCAATTTTATAGTTTGTGCTAATGAAACAAAAAAGCTGTAAAACATGCGTTGTCCACGGAATGGACGAACTGATTTTCACAAAATTAAGTTTGTCACGTAATAATATCTCGTGTACACAATGTGAAAAAGATAAAATTTATGCTGGGGTCAGCATGCCACCGTTTCATATTTTCATTGACATGACAACAAATCATTATCACGCGAGACATCGCGACAGCAGGACGCTTCTTTTTATTTATTAAAATGTCACATTGACGCATGCCTTTGTTGTATGCATTTTCTATCTTTCGGTCGGCGGGTTATCTGTGCTTTGAAAATATAATAAAAAATTAATTAAAGATAACGATTTTTTTGCAAACAATGGTGGAGAATCAGTGCAACGCGGGACCAGTGAAAGCGTACATCATGAGTGATTTGCTGAAGAAGTTCGATTTTGAAACGACTAATGACTTTGTCAAGTTGACTGTTGCTCTCATCGGCTTCTATATGGGCATGTTTTATCGTATGTATATTTTTATTATCTGTCAATTAATGGAAATCTGTCTTTACTTTAAAGTACTAACCGTTTTACAGTATTCTTTTAAATTAATATTTTCAGAAAATATCTACCTATAATAGAAGATGATACCATAAACTTAAAATTTCTGAAATTTCAACTTAACGATTTAATATACGTTTACTAAAGCGTGCCGAAATCCTCGGGTAAAATTATTCATTACACATTAATTTTAATATTATTTTACTGTAATGTTGTACGTAAAGATTTGACCATCATCTGTCTTGTGCAGAGTCGAATATAATTTATCTAATAAACTTACTCAATGACATTTTTTCTGCAGTGTAAAAACTGCTAAGTGACCATTTTATTCCGTAGAGCTCTGATTGCATTATTACTTATTTTTTTTTTACGTCAGCAAATTCGTTTTTAATAGTATATTGTGTAGTATGCCAATTATCTAGAACAATAAATATGTTCTTTATTATTTGTGTATAAGAAATAACAAAGTATATATTTATATTTTTCTTTTTCTTTTTTAGTCAAATAGCTAAATCCACACTTAGGATTTATCTTGTTCCCTTCTCTTATTGTAGAAGCATTATATACTCTATGTTGCGCTTGGATTTATACCCAGACCCGAAATATTTGTAGCCCATATATAAATGTTTGTTAGGTGTGAAAATCGTACAACTAGTTCACATCGCCGCGGTTAAAAGGCCCTGCGCAGATAGTCACTACAGCAGCAGGCCTTTGCAGTCATTTTTAATTATTTTTATTTATTTAAGGAAAGCATACCGCTTTTTAACCCCCAACGAAAACAGAGGGGTGTAATAAGTTTGTAGCGTGTATCTGTGTGTCTGTCTGTGGCATCGTAACTCCTGATCGAATGAACCGATTTTGATTAAGTTTCTTTTTTATTAAATTTGTTATGTATAGAATATATCCGCAGTAGAACCAGAGTAACCGACATAGCCCAACGGATTAGTAAGCTGAAGTGGCAGTGGGCCGGCCATATAGCTCGAAGAACCGACAACCGATGGGGAAGAAAGGTTCTTGAGTGGCAGCCTCGTACCGGTAGGCGAAGTGTAGGGCGACCCCCCACGGGATGGAGTGACGACCTGGTAAGCCATGCAGGAAGTCGATGGATGCAGGTGGCTCAGGACCGTGCTTTGTGGCATTCCTTGGGGGAGGCCTATGTTCAGCAGTGGACTTATGAAAGGTTGTAATGATGATGAGACAACAAGATACAGAAACAGTCTTATAGTGAGTTTGTACAAAGGTTCTACTTATTCCACAATTTGCTGAAATAGTAGACCCACAAAGGAAAACATATTAAAAAGGCAAAATTAGTGCGTACAATACTAATACTACTGTAAATAATATACAAAATGTTACGTAAATTATATAAAATGATAAATAAACGTAATACATACAATAGCTACATATAATATATAAACTAATACTAATATAATAAAATAATATATATTAATTAACACGAGGAATTCTTTCGTTTGAAATGTGTTTTAATCGAGAGCGTTCTTAGCTATGTTTCAAGAAAATCTGTTCAGCGGTTTGAATATCATCAGCTCCTTTTGTTTCGGGTGTTTTTAAATTTAAGTTATTTAAACATTAGGTGGTAGGACTCCTTTTGTGCCTGGGCGTTCATACTCAAAACTCAAACTCAAACCCAAACATTTATTGTTAAACCATAATGTACACAATACGTTATAAAATAATGTGAGACCAGTGTTACGGACCCTTTTGGTCACGCAATTTAGGGGCTAGGAGAGAGGAAGCGTTTCATCTGAGTTGGTCGTGGTCACGTCGTCCTTTTACCTATTTCTGTCGCAATAGCTTTCTGCCCGGCTAGCATGGGCGGGGGACAATTTTATCCCCGGGGAAAGGAGAAAATGTTTATCCCCTCGCTTAGTTTTAGCCACCCTTTGAGCATAGGCACACCGGTGGGTATAATATCCACAGTAGATAAATTGGGAGATAGACTTAGACTTAGATAGATTTTTTTTGTATGAATACAAACTTCAACCCACGTCCAATGAACAAGGATAAAATTGTCCCTTTTAAATGCCAAAAAAGTATAATTTTTTATCTTTCATTTCGCTCCATGCTACGGCCGGGGGATATTTGTCTACTCGTTATATCAAACGAGGATATACTTCTCCCCGTTTGACATAACGAAATAATTTTATCTCTTTTCAGTGGATATAATCGGGGGATAAAATTTTTGTCCCTCTCCCATGCTAGCCGGGCTGTATTCCGGTCTGAAGGTTATAGAGAGAGCCAGTATAATCACAGGCTGTGATGCATTCTATCTTAGTCCTCATATATGATGACGCGTCTGTAGCATTCTTTGTTGGCTGCAGGTGTCCATGGACTGCAGTAACTACTTACCATCCCGTAGACTGTATGTTCGTCTGTCACTTCAGTATATTAAAAAAAAAAACAATTACTTTTTAAATTTAGACTTGGATTAAAGACCTTTACGTGGTAGAGCCATGCTGCAGCTATATTAGTAGTATAGTTGTAGCACGAATGGGTCGGCTCGACCGGCGAAGGACCACGCTCTCACAGAATACCAGCGTAAAATGGCAGCTTGATACTGCTATGTTTCGTATGGTGAGTGTAGAGAACCGGGGAGCCTTTTTACTGGAAAAGAGGCATTCCATATTAGTCCTCAAGGGTGACGACGCATCTGCATTTTGATTCTTTATTGAGGATAGGTGTCGATGTCTATGTGTCACAGCAACCACTTACCATCAGGTGGACTGTGTGCTCGTTTGTCACCCTATCCTATAAAAAAAATTACCTAATTTAGATTCGCAATATACCCTTTTTACTGGAAACGATGCATTTCATCTTAGTCCTCAAGGGTGACGACGCATTTGCATTTTGATTCTTAATCGAGAATAAATGTGTGGAAAGGTGTCTATGGGCCACCGCATCCACTTACCATAAGGTGGACTGTACGCTCGTTTGTCACCATTAATCTATATTTAAAAAAAACTAGATCATTGGGCAGATATACTGATATACCAAAAAAAAGCATGTACATATTTTGAAGGTAAAATTATATCAGTACATTGAGTGTATTGAGTTTACCGGCAATATAAATCTTGCCTTCTTGGTATATTGTTTTTTTTTCGGTATAACAGTCACAGTGCACACAGTGAACAGCGAAATAAGCTCTTGTCACAGAAATTACTACTCCTATTCGAATTTTTATCGGTCAACTTGAAAATTAATATCTAAGCTAGATACATTATATTTAATCGAAAAACATTTCTTCCCTCTGTAGAATTGACGACGTTGATAAAGAGGTTATTGGTACTTTTCGGTTGATAACGTATGATACCGTTATACGATAATTCATAAATAAACGCTTTCGGTCTCTTTAATTTTTTTTGTTTCGTTAATCTTGTTAACAACATAATACTGACTTCCCAGTGAGTAATCAGAGGATACTCGTGTTGGGAATAACCCGCTATTTCCCTTAAGGATTACAAAAAAATTAAAATTACAAAAAGTTTAACCTCTAGGAAATTTGTAATTAGTATGTGTATATTAAGGAGTGTGTGAATGTGAGTGTAGGAGTGTTGTTGTATGTAAGATGTGGGTGTGTGTGTGTGTGTGTGTGTGTGTGTGTGTGTGTGTGTGTGTGTGTGTGTGTGTGTATGTGTGTGTGTGTGTGTGTGTGTGTGTGTGTGTGTGTGTGTGTGTGTGTGTGTGTGTGTGTGTGTGTGTGTGTGTGTGTGTGTGTGTGTGTATGTGCTGGTGGATGAAGAAATTATAAGTAAGAAAAGAAGACTAGTTGCCTTGCAAAATAAAATTTTACTGATCAAATATGAAAGACTGAATACTGTTACCTGTAAATGTATAAGATGCTGATGAGATAGATTTCACACAATTATATTTAAAAGATTTTCAACCTCGTCATAAGTCAGTGTATATAACCAATGCATAAAAGTTTTTTTTTTGCATATAATTAATTGCATAGGGTATATTTTAAGTATTTTATTTTATTTATTATATATAAAAGCAGACTGACATGGGTACTGTCTAATAGCAAAGACAGTACGTACAAGAGGTATAGGCGCCACAATATCAGTTCTTCTCTTTTTTTTGAAGCGATGAGGTTAAGAACATAAAGCTTTCTTACTGTGAACAAACAACCTATAAATGTCTACTGCTGGACGTAGGCCTCTGGCCTTAATCATCACCCTTTACAGGTGAATAGACGAACGCAGTAGGAGAAGTCCCGCACCTTTATCGCTGCACTCCGTCGCCGGTCTGGGTGTTTTATGTGGTGTAGATGGGATAGTTATATAGATCTCTAACATAATCAAGGTACTTCGAGTTAACTACGACATCGAGACATTAAACACTCTATGGAGTGTCAGTCCCTTCGTGAGCAGTGGTGTTGCATAACTCACAACATTTGTGTTTGAAAATCCGATGGAATCCCTGAGAAACGTTCAATTTATTTATTCAACGTTCATTATCAGCCTATCGAAAATTGTTATTATGTGATTTGTTTTCAATATAGCTTAATTGTTAGTTATGCATTAGGAATTTCCTCGTTCACCGAATATCTCCTAATATAGTATAACATTAAATGCATATGTAGGTACAAATACCAAGAGCTGAAACAATTATTGATACGTTTACTGCTGGGCATGGCCCTCCTCTCATTTCTGAAGAATCATTTCTCCATAACCTTCATGAGGTGATAAGTCTCCCGCGGTGCTCCAGTGACTGTTGGCCGACTTTACATGTTCTCAAAATATTTTATTACTGAGAAGAAATAAATATATATCCGCATGTCGGCATGCGGTTTTCTTTACGATGGATTTCCTCACCGAAGAGCACGTGGTAAATCAGCACTAAAAATGTAGGTAATTTTTTTTATAGGATAGGATGACAAACGAGCAAACTGTCCATCTGATGGTAAGTGGTTGCTGTGGCCCATAAATATACATCTATCCTCG